GCATTCACTGAAACACTGTGTTCTTTTCATAGTAAAAAGAATTAAAACTTGAAACAACCTACATGGCCATTAGGAGACTTGATTTAAAAAAAAAAAAAGTGGACTATTCATACAAAAGAATTCATATACAGAGTGAAATGGAATAATAAGAAGTATAAGGACAAACATACATTTTTTAAAGACTTTTTAAAATGCATTTATTTATTTTGAGAGAGGCAGAGAGAGAGGGTGAGAGAGAGAATCCCAACCGGGCTCCGTGGTGTCAGTGCAGAGCCCAATGCAAGGCTTGAACTCACAAACTGTGAGATCATGACCTGAGCCAAAACAAGAGTTAGACGTGTAACTGTAACCAACTGAGCCACCCAGGCTCCCCACACATAAATTTTTTAAATGACACTAAATGAAAAAGAAAGTTGCTGAAACTTACATATATGGTATCTTTTATATGCGTTATAACAGGATATATTATTTATGGTTTTATACATGGATACTAAAATTCCAAAAAGAATCCAAAAGGATGATAAATACAAAATTCAATGTTTGGGGGTTTGTTTGTTTGTTTGTTTAGCAAGAGAAGGAGTGAAGAAGACAAAGAGGATCAAGAGTTTAAGTTGTATAGTTGATACAGCGGTATCAACTATTTATATTATTTATATATATATTATTTATAAATTTATAAATTTATAAATAATATAAATAATTTATATTATTTAATATAATATAAAAGCTTATTATATTATTATCTAAGCTTTTCTGTATTTATTTAATATTTTGTAATTTTTTTGAATAATAGAATTGCCTTTTCACTTCCATACCCCCAATTTGTTTAGAAATGCATAAAAGAATTTCCAGACAACATATGTTCTCAGATAAAAATCTATCCTCTGAAAACCACCAAATGTAAAGGATTTCCTTTTTGACATTTTCTATTCTATAGTTAGTGAGTCTCTTCCTGGCCTGGTACTCTTTATGAGGGAAGTCAGCATCCATATACCAAGAGAGAGAACAGCATTTTATTCACAGGGTTAATAACTGAAGTTTAGGCAAAATATGGAAGCTGTCAAGCTCAGGTTAAAAGAAATACCTGAAAAAGAAGAAAAGCATGTTTAATTTACTAGAACAGTGTAATTAAGGTAGAGTGCTAAGATACACATCAATATTTTTTGGCCCCCATGATGGCTCTGTCCACATGTAAAATCATTACCAGAAGAAAAACTTAAGATGGTGCTTGATCTCAACCAGCCCTTTTCTGATACATATTTACTATCCACCTGACAAAAGGGAAAGTTGGTAAGAAAAATTCCATTTTCTTAGCTTTGGTATCTTAACAGTGAAACTAATCTAACTATCTAGATCAACACAGGTGTTCAGAGAGTGCAAGGCAATGTGTTAAAAAAATTTCTTGTAGGCTAAAAAAAAAAAACAACTATGGAAGAGGAGAACTGAGAAAAAAATAGGAGACAAAAAGAGTCTAAATGATATGAAAAATGTAAGATTTGAGCCTTAAAAGCATTGGGTAGCCAAGAATTTCAGGATTGCCAATGAGCTATAACTCATCCATCATCCTCAGAGTCCCAGGCTATGGTATAGACTATGGGGAAGTAGACATAAATGAAAACTAGTCTCTCTTGTTAAGTATAGTAACCAGAAGATAACTAAGGACACTCACAGGGCAGATAATCACTACCACAATGGTGCATGCAACAAAAAATTGGACCACAGATAAAGGAATAACTATCTGTGGACAGTTTAGTTTCACAGGCAAGCCAAACTTTAGTGAAACTCAACTCATTTTTAACCAAAGGGATAAAAAGAAACTTCCAAAACCAAAGACAAAAATAAGTCTTAAAAAATAAATTAAAAAAACAAAGACAACTATAATGACATTGTTTAAATTTTGAAAATATGGCACGAATGAAGAATTATTTTTAAAATACATGTGCTGTGGGTGGAAGTGTGTCCCTTTCCCCCAAAATTCATTTGTTGAAGACCTAATCTAATCCCAGCACCTCAGAATGTGATTGTACCTAGAGGTAGGGTTTTCAATTGGCCCTACTCCATTTTCAAAGACATAACAAAGAGGAAGATCACGTAGGAACACAGAGAGAAGACAGCCATCTACAAGCCAAAGACAGAGACCTCAGAAGAAAGCAGCCCCGCTGGCACCTTGATCTCCAACTTCTTGCCTCCAGACTTGGGAGAAAAGTATTTTCTATTTTTTACGACTTCCAGTCTGTGGTACTTTATTATGGCAGACCTAGCAAGCTAATACAATATAGTACACTTAAAATGATGGCCAAAATCCTACATTGGCCTATAATACTCAAACTGTATTGTCTAGTTAAAGAAAGCAGACACACAGGGCATCTGGGTGGTTCAATGGGTTAAGTATCTGACTCTTGGTTTCAGGTCAGGTCATCATCTCACTCTTTGTGAGTTCAAGCCCTGCATCAGGCTCTATGCTGACAGTGCAGAGTCTGCTTGGGATTCTCTCGCTCACCTCCTCCTTCTTTGCACTCTCTCTCTCTCTCTTGCTCTCTCTGTCTCGCTCTCTCTCTCTCTCCCTTTCTCAAAAATAAATAAATAGGGACACCCGAGTAGCTCAGTCAGTTAAGCATCAGATTTCGGCTCAGGTCATGATCTCACTGTTCATGGGTGCAAGCCCCATGTCAGGCTCTGGGATGACAGCTCAGAGCCTGAAGCCTGCTTAGATTCTGTGTCTTCCTCACTCTCTGCCCTTCCCCTGCTCACGCTCTGTCTCTCTGTCTCTCAAAAATAAATAAACGTTAAAATTGTTTAAATAAAAAATAAATAAATAAACATTTTTTAAAAAGAAAGCAGACACATATATAGACTGATCCCATTTTTATAAAACCATGCAACTAAATGCATAAATATAGACAGAAAGATGACAAATATTATCCCTGATGTTTCATGTGATTTTTTAAAAAAAACTCTCTCCATTAGGCTCTTCTGCATTTTAGTAAGTATGTGAGTGGATGAATTCAAGTGGGAAAAAATATATAGAGCAAGAAAAGAATGTAGCTCAGGGCAGACCCTTGGGGAATGCTGATATTTAAGGGACAGAAAGTGGAAGCAAGCAAAGGCAAGGAAAGATGGGGCAGAGAAGAGAGATACCCAGAGTATATCCCAAAGACGCCCATGGAGGACAAGGTTTTAGAAGGACAGCGTGCTAATGAGGGTTAAAGGCTGCAAAGAGCTGCGTGGAGCCTGGAGGGAGAATGTTGCATTTGGAAGTCAAGAGGTCATGCTATGCTCAGAGAGCAGTTTGAAGGAGTAGTGAGGCCAGTTGTAAGCGTTTAAGGAAAGAATTGGCAGTGAGGAAGGAAGGCAGCAAGGGCAGAAATAGTGAGAAGAGTTAAAGACCTTCAGGTATAGAAGCAGACTGCCATTATCATACCAGGAATAGCCTGAATACAAACCCAGAGATATTGAGATGCCAGTTACCCTAGAAACCCAGAGAAGTACCTTAGCAACATGTACGAAGCTGCTGTATTCTGCACGGTGCCTAAAGATGTTTCTGGACCCACTCTAGTGTAATCTGTCAATTAGCCTGTAGTCTCCGGTTACTGGGAAAGATGCTTCTATAAACCAAAGGCCTTGACAATGAAATCACTTAGTAGCCTCTAGAGCAACAAAGGTACTGGCAGCACCCAGCATAATTTGTAATTAGAAAAGTTCTATAACCTGACAAGAAAGCATACCTACACTGATTTGACTATGAGGAACATGCTTTCTTGTCTAGTTTCTGTGCATCTTAACCAGCTCCCCTGGGGATAAGAGACAATAAAAACTAAGCAAAGACAGGAGACAGTGAGGTAGAGAGCACGTGTTCAGAAAGGGTGCTAGGCACTGATCTTTCTTCCCTCATCTGAGCCAGGTAGCTCTGGGATAACATAACATCAATATTATGAACTTACATATATGCATTTACCAATATGTGTAGCTGAGAGTCATGTGCCAAGCAGCATACTGCATACTTTACTTGAAATATTTAATTCCATTTTTACACAAGCCCAATTAGGTAACTACTAATATTATCACCCCTTTTTTTAAAAAAAAAAATATATATATATATTAATTTTATTTATTTCTAGGAGGGAGAGAGAGACAGCGTGAGCAGGGGAGGGTCAGAGAGAGAGGGAGATACAGACTCTGAAACAGGCTCCAGGCTCTGAGCTGGCAGTCAGCACAGAGCCCGACGCGGGGCTCGAACCCACGAACCGCGAGATCATGACCTAAGCGAAAGTCGGATGCTTAAGCGACTAAGCCACCCAGGCGCCCCTAAAATATATTTTTAAAAGTTTATTTATTTATTTTGAGAGCGAGAGAGAGAGTGGAGGAGGGGCAGAGAGAGAGAGGGAGAGAGAGAGAATCCTGAGCAGGCTCCGCACTGTCAGTGCAGAACCCGATGCTGGGTTCAAACCCACAAACCATGAGATCATGACCTGAGCCAAAACCAAGAGTCTGAAGCTTAACCAGCCAGAACGACTCAGGTGCCCCTATCCATTTTTTATAGATGAGGAAACTGAGGCTCAGAAAACTTGTGTTATTTGCTTGATTTAAGCACATTTCTTAATCTAAGGTCATTTCTTGGCCACTACACAGGGCAAGAAGTGACTTATACATTACACTCCCTTCAATGAAGACCCTGCACCCCGGTGATGCAATTAGGCACATATGGAGGTAACCACACCTGAAAGCAGAATATAGATGCTATAGGAGAGGGTGTTCAACTCCTGGCTGGGCAACCAGAACATCTCTGAAAAGAAAGATAGCTTTAAACTTTGGGTGTGAAGGGTAGGAAGAATTTTAATAAATGGAGATTCCTTTTACCACAAAATCAAAACAACATGTTTTTTCGTACCTTTCTTTCTTTCTTTGGGTTATTCCTCCCCAGCTCTTCTCAAGCTGTCTCTAACTAGCAAGGCTTCACTAGCACCACCATCTGTTTATTCCATCATCTTTACTTCCTTCAGGACACCAGCATTCCATAGCAGCGACAGAGCTGGGCATGCTCAGATGTGCAGATGCTAACCAGATGTGCATCGCTAACCAGCTGTGGCAAGGAGAACCTGCCTGTGGTGACCTCGGTAAAGGACAGGAGCCACTTTCTTCTGCGTAAGGATCTCTGAGTGCTGTGTGGACCAGCTGCTAGGGCAGGCATTGTCTGATGCAACCCGAATTCACACTGGAGGACTTTATGAGTACAGGTCTGTTCTATATTTTCTGAATTCACCTTTAATTACTATCTGTTAAGTAAAATTCTAAAATCCTTTGTGTCCCTAAAGTTGGAGGATAGAGGAATTGAGTGGTCGAGTTCACATCATAAGCCAGGGCAGAGCATTGATGGGAAAATCCGTTTGATATTTTCCCAGAAAACATTTCCCTAGCACCCATATAGGATGCTGCTGCCTCAGAATCTGTCTCTAACTGGCTGAGGTGCACCACCAGAAAGCAGAAAGTAATTGTTAAAATAAATCTGTTTTTAAAATACTAATAACACTTTTCACATTGCTCACAATCAGACATGTCCAATCCCATAGTCAGGAAAGAGAGCGTGTTTTTAGGGAGGATTTCTTAAGCATAGAGTAATTTCTTGATACCCGTAGAAAACAAGCCAGATATTGAGGAAAAATTGGAAAGAGTCATTTGCTCTTATCAAAAGCAAATTATTTCTTTTGAAAAGGAAAGTTTTTGACAGCTGGTTGGTGACTCAGTCTGCTGAAAGATTCCTCAACAATTTTAAGAAAAAAAGCTCTCAGGGCGCCTGGGTGGTTCAGTCAGGTAAGTGTCCGACTTCAGCTCAGGTTATGATCTGGCAATTCGTGGGTTCAGGCCCCACGTCAGGCTCTGTGCTGACAGCTCAGAGCCTGAAGCCTGCTTTGGATTCTGTGTCTCCCTCTGCACAGAGTCTGACGCGGGGCTGGAATTCAAGAACGGTGAGATCGTGACCTCAGGTGAAGTCAGACACTTGACCCACTGAGCCATCTAGGCGCCCCCAGAGGAGTTTAGTTTTAAGAACAGTTTAGATGATGTAATTGGGGGAGAACTTTTGTCTAGAATTATGACTATACAATTAGATACTTAAATGATTATGGCTTTCATTGTTCCTAAGAGCAGGACAGATCACCACCCACTGACAGTCCTTACTTTCAACCCCTCCAGAACACATCAATGGACACTGGAGGTATGATCCACTGTGTGGTTCCAGGTAATATAATCTAAAGAAGGTAGCAAGGACTCTGTAAAACCAAAATATCTGAATCTTCAAATATTTCCTCTGTTATATGATTTTAAAATCTGGATACCTAAAGTGTCATTTTTTCCCAGTTTAAAAATAATGCTATTTTTATTATTGTTTCCTATGGAAACCATTTCCCTAGGCATGGCAGTGGCAATGTCCTCACAGGGAATTATTTATTTAAGCTGGTTTTTCTTGTTGAGCTTTGGATGACAGAAACCCATATTTCATCCCAGTGGATTCTTCAAGATTAGTCCCAGCATACTCTTGGAGAATCATCTAATACTGCCATAGCCACACGGCCAACTGCTAAGCAGCCATGGGGAACCATTCTGTTCCCCAGAGATCAGTTTGAAGAACTTCAGGTCCTCGGGGACTAATGGAAAGTTACAGCAGCTGTGACCAGAACTATCCAAATCTGTCTGAAGTCAAATGTCAAATAAAGCAGTGATACTCAGAAAGTACCTAAGAATCACGAGACCTCCATATTTGCACAGGAAATAAAGAGCTTTCCCTTCACATAACTCATATTCCTGACAACATGTTATTCTTCTTTAAGCATTAAAGAATTATAAACTTCTATTTGGACCTATGAATAAGTAGCTTGTATCAGACGAACTCTCCCAGAAAAACAGTCATAAAACACTGCCTCTAAATTAAACAGCTATTCAAACAATGGAGAGTAACCAAAACAGTCAGGACTTAAGGGATCAAGATCCTGAAGAGAAATAAAATACACTGAGGTGAGCCAGATAGTTACCACTCCTATTCCCCAAAGAGTTTGGTGAAGTATACAGGCCATGGAGAAATACACACACACACATGCATGCATACACAGGTATGTATATACATATGTACATAAATGATCAAGTGCTGCAGGAGTCTCACTGGGCTAAGGAGATGAAAAGTAGATTTCAGGATTATCAAACTGAAAGGGTGTGAGGATCCAGCATCTTAGATAAGCGAGCCCCACCTTCCCTGTGCAATTTCCCCTCAAGGCACTGACCTATTCCTAAACTAATTAGACACAGTCCAAGAGGAAGAAACCAAGCAACCATATGACAATTTCTCATACTAAAATGGTCATCAGAGACTTTAGTGGTCCATGATGCTTGAAAGACAAAACTTGGAGTTCAAGACTCTCCAAAAAGAGGAGTACTGGAATGTATTCCAGACTTTCAGCTGGGACTCTGAAGGACCACACCCTAGGAAAAGATGCAATAATTCAGGGATAGAGGAGCCCTTTCAAAGACTGAATCTCATCTCCAATCAGTTCAATTCCTGCTTGGGTCACAATGAATGATCTGCTTTCCAAAATCAAATTAAATCCTCTCTATAGGAAGGTAGACATCATCTAGAATCTTTATTTTTTTCTACACACAATTCCCATCATTCAATCCAAATTATTGGGCATACCAGGAAATATGACCAATGACTAAGATTTAAGGTGGGAAGTCATTAAGATTTAATGACTAAGATTTAAGGGGGGGAAGGCAAGACAATAGAAAGAGAAACACATGTGATTCAGATATTGAGGTTGTCAGACTTTGACTTTAAAATAACTGAGATTGAAATGGTCATGGAAATAGTTATAGTTATATATATATATATATATATATATATATATATATGTGGAGGATTTCACCAAGAACTAAGTCTTTTTTTAAGCACTAAATGGCAATTCTAGAACTGAAATGTACAGTAACTGAATTGAGAACTCAAAAATTGGATTTAGTAATAGATTATAAACAGAAGAGAGAGTTAGCAAACTGGAAGATAGGTGAGTTAAAAAAAAAAATACCTCAAGTTGAAACACACAGAGAAACAAAGCATGAAAATAGAGAAAAGAGTGAAAAAGATACATGGTACATGCTGGAAAAGTCTAATATATGGGTAGCTAAAGTTCCCAGAGAAAGAATGGGGCAGAAACTATTTCTCTAAACTGACCAAAGACATCAAGTCACAGAGTCAAGAATTTCTATGACCTGGAAGCAAGATACATACAAAAGTAAGCCACACCAGGCATATCATAGTAAGATTGCTGAAAACCCAGAGCTATTGAGGGAAAATCTTATAGTAAATAGAGGAATAGGACAGAGTACCCTCAAAAAGGCAAGGCAAACACTGTGTTTCTGTGTGCTAGCCAAAAATATTGAAGATGAAATTTTAAAAAACAATACCATTTACAATAACAGCAAAACTTATCAAATAAAAACGAATAAAATAGAAGATGTATGAGCTCTCTTTGCTGAACACTACAGAACATTCCTGAGAGAATTTTAAATAGACTGTAATAAGTGTAAGCTTATTAACACCGAATTCATGGATTAGAAGACCCAGTATTCTAAGAGTCAATTGTACTTAGTCCAATGAATAGACTCAATGCAATCTCCATTTTCAAAATGACTGTAGGTCGCTGACAAATTGGAAATTGACAAATTGATTTTAAAATTTATAAGGAAATGCAAGGGCCAAAAGAAAGCAAAAACAAGCTTGATGTAGAAAAGAAAGTTGGAAGACTTACACTTCCAGATCTCAAGATTGATTGGAAAGTTAAATTAAATAAATGTGGTATTGGTGAAAGGAAATAAAATAGGTCACTGCAGTATAATAGAGTTAAGAACGGGTGGTCTTCTCAATAAGTGGTGATGTATCAAGATGGGATAAAATTAACCTCAATACCCTACTGACACCCCAAAATCAGTTCCAGGTGGATTGTAGACCTAAATGGGAATGGTAAAATGATATTGCTGCTGTACAATAACCTAGGGCAATATCTTCATCACCTGGGGTAGGCAAAGAGCTCTTTAACAATTATTTATTTTTGAGAGACAGGGAGGAACAGAGCACAAGTGGGTGATGGGGCAGAGAGAGAGGGAGGCACAGAATCTAAAGCAGGCTCCACCAGGCTCTGAACAGTCAGCACAGAGTCCGATGCGGGGCTCAAACCCACCAACCGTGAGATCATGACCTGAGCTAAAGTTGGCGCTTAACCAACTGAGCCACCCAGGCGCCCCCCCAAAGAGCTCTTAAACAGAACACAAAAAGGCACTAAATGTAAAAAGAAACTGGAAAACTCAACTTTATTAAAATTTATAATTTCTGTCATTGAAAGTCACCATTAAAATAATAAAAAAAAATGAAAAGGCAAGTGATAAGATGTAAGAATATATAAACAATGAATATGTATGTATATCTGTGTGTATGTCCTATAAAAAGTTGAGAAGGCAGATAATCTAATTTAAAATAGAAAAAAGGCTTGAATAGACTCTTCCAAAAACAAAAACAAAAACAAAAAACCAGTGCATCCAAATGGACAATCAGCATGCAAAAGGAATTTGGTATCAGTAGTCACCAAGAAAATAAAAATTAAGACAAAAAAAACAGAAACAAGAAAATTCCACTACTCATCCAGAAGAATGGTTAAAACGAAAAGGACTAACAATTCCAAGTATTGGTGAGGACATGAACAAGTGCTATCCCATTACTGCCAGTAGGAGTGTAAATCAGGGCAATACTGTGGCAAATTTAAAAATAGCCACAAATGATACCCATCTGTGTATGTGATTGTAATTGACACATACAATTTACAACTGGCTTTTCCATTTTTCCCTCTAAAAGGTCGATTTCTCCATTTCTGGAATCTGGGCTTGGTCATGTGACATGCTTTGGGCAACGGGAGCAAATATGACACCAGTGAAGGCTTGGAAAGGGCTGGTATGTTGGAGTTTGCTCTCTTTTGCTGCTCCTGGCAAACTGCCACCATCACCATGTGAATGAACCCTGACCAGCTTGCTGGATTACGGGGGCCCCATCGCTAAGTTAGCCCCATCACTACTACCGACGACCAACCAACAGCCAAGCAAGTGAACGAGGCCACCAGCCGCCAGCTGACTGCTAATGCAGGACTGAATCCAGCTGACACAGACGGAACATAAAAGAACCATCCCAGATAAGTCCAGTCCAAACACCAACTGAAAAAAAAAAAAAAAAACACTTTGGAAAATGATTTTGCAGAATCTACTAAACACATTCGCTATTCCCCAATTCCACTCCTAGGTATATACCCAACAGAAATGCATCAAAAGACATGGCCAAGAAGAATGTTCATTGTAGCACTATTCATAATAGTCCCAAACTATAAATAACATAAATATCCATCAAGAACAGAGTAAATAAATAAGTTGTGGAATAGTCATGTGATGGAGTACTATACAGCAGTGAAAATGAACAAACTATTGGTAAATGCGCAGCACGAACTAATCTCACAAATACCATATTAAGTTTTAAGAAAACAGACACAGCACAATGTGAGTTCATTTATAGGAAGTTCGAAAACTAGGAAAACTCTGCAGTGACAGTAATCAGAATAATGGTTACCTTTGGAAGCGTTTTTGGCTGAAGGAAGCATGAAGGAGGTTTCTGGGTGCAAGAAATGTTTCATATTTTGATCTACTCATTTGTGTCTACTCTAAAAATTCATTGACCTGAGTTCGTAAGATGTGTGCCCTTTACTGTATATTATGCTTCCATTTTAAAAGTGTAAAAACAAATTAAAAATGTCTCTCAGTTATATTCTCTACAATGTCTTTTTCAGGGAGACGACCTCCCCATACACACTTTTAATTCTAACTTTTTCCCGGGTTTCATTCCCTGATCCTTCCACAGACACCTGTACTTATGTGATCCATTAGCATGGTGAATGCAGTCTAAAACTGAACTACCCACCTACCCCACATATCTGGATTTGTGGTGCGTCTCACTGCCAACTACCTTTCCTGGTTCCTTTCATTGCCTTATCTCCCTCATTCTCCACACCATATCATCAAGTCGTATCGAGCCTTCCTTTGAATTTTCCTCCAACTTGGTCCCTCTCCCCTTTCCATTAGGTCAGTCAGAGTTCAGAGGAAGGAGGCAGAAACCACTACAGTTTTCTTGAGCAGAAAGACATTTAATACAGGGAAACCAGGGATTACAGAATTATTTGGAGGCTGAAGAAGCCTTCTACAGGCTGACCTCCAGAAATGACTCTCAGAGCAAGACTGTTCATGAGTATTGCCAGTGGACGTCTACCTCTGCCACTATCAGGCAGGTGGAGTGCAAGAGTCTGCCCCGGAAGTGTTAAGTTCAAAAATACCCTTCACAGCTGCAATCCAGATATCAAGGAGCCACCAGCCACACTGCAAAGGTACTCAAAACTTCTAACACTAGTAACTGGACCCTTGGAAATGAACCCAGTTTATCCACGACCTTGCTTGCCAACACCAATAACTCAGGTGGGAAATATGGTTTCCATCTTCTTAGCACGTCAGAGGAGTACATCAATTTGGCAGAATATAATCCACATTCATAAAACTGGTTGCATGGGAGTCTGGGAGTGTAACTTTGGCTTTTTAGCCTTCTCAATACAGGAAGGCCGTTAGAAGGAGACTGAAATAGGTACTGAGGGTCGATTCTCCGTGTCTTTTGCACGTACGAATCCATAATCTCCCACGCCTGGAGTATTTCTTTAGTCACACAGCAGGCATCTACTCAGTGTCTGCTGCATACCTGCGACTGGACAAGGACCCGGGAGTACAAAGATGTAGTTCTTGCCCTCAAGGCGTTCTTGGCCTAGAAGGGAAGAGAAACCTGACAACCAATGATCCCAAGACCGTGCAGGGAAGGGATGTGTGAAGGTGGGGTAACTGCACTTCAGGAATATGGAAAAGATGTTCTGTCTTAACCCGGGAGAATAAGGGAGCTTTCCCAGAAGAGGCCCAAACATATTTCTGAGTCTTTGATAATATCATTTCCTCTGTCTGAAATAGATCTTCCAGTCTTAACAAAAATCTTGTGGAAGAACTCACTCATGAGTCTCAGGAGCTATAGGCTGATTTAAGTTAGACAAACTTTGGGGGTCAGTGGGGGGTCTCTTGTGCTCTGTCAAGTGCGGTCTGGTTTTATCCCATTCTGGCCCCTGTCTCTGAGGCCTTCTTTTTTTTTTTTTTTTTTTTTTTTTTTTGGAAGAACGTGTGTGGCTTTCTGGCAGTGCACCTGCCCGAGAGGCAGAGCCAGGTCTCCTTTTGATCTTTTAAGTAGGGTGAGTTCTGTTTCCTTCTAGAGAGGCAGAAGCACATCTCAGTGCTCGTCCCCAAGGCTGCGTGGGCAGCCTCTCCACCAATCTCACAAAGACACAGGGACCCCCGAGCCTCTTGTGCAAAGGCTTTAGGGGACCGGAAAGGAGAAAGTCATGCCAGATTTTCAAACTGAGTTTTCTTTGGGCCTCCAAGCTCATATGACAACTCTTAGATAATGTATACATCTAGTAAAACATGAATAATTTTATTTTTTCTTTCATTAGTGACCGATTCTATCAAGTTGAACAGACTAAATTCCCTTAAACAATCACTCCCATCTACAAATATGCTAGGCTGCAGTTACACATTTAACATAGTCAATTTTCTTTTGAACTGCTTCAGATATCTACCCTAAGCAGCAAAGCCTTTCCAAGTTCTTATACAACTGTAATCAATCTAATAAATTAAACCTATAAATGCTGTGACTCTCCAGTTCACTTAAACTTTCAAACACTGTTTATAAATTTAATCAAATTTTTGTGCTTTATATAAATCACAAGCCTAAGATCAATTACTTAATTAAACATTTTAAATTGGAATCCCAAGGCTACTCTGTCTGTGTTCCAATATGCCCAATTCTCTAATTACAATGAAATCCAAGTACATCCAGATTTTCTCAATGATTTCAAATGTATTCCTGATCTACACAAAAGTATGAATATTATGGTTTGATTTACTTCAACATCTAACTCTAAACATTCCGAGGGCTAGAAATACAGTTCACCCATTGAAGAAACAATTTCATCACCCAAAATGACTTGAGCTATCTTCTCAAGGTGTTGGAAACACTACTAGCCAGGCAGCTGAGTCCTCAAGAAGGCTGCGTTTATCCCAGAGAGTCCTGCCTGCATCAAAGATGGACCTGTGAGCCTTTCTTGGAGTCGGACAACAAAGGACTCCAAGTCTTCATCTTGCCTTGGGTGTTAATCTTAAAGCCCTCACCACCTGGGTTCAGGTGATGGCATAATCTTCCAAAACTTCCTTCAACATTACTACCTGATGGGGCACAATGGAAACTTGCATCTCCGTTAAGATTTCAGTTAGCTTTCCCCAATCCCTCACAGCCTGTTTGGATTTTAATTCTTTTCATCTTCCCCAGTGGCCAGACCCCACCTCTTAAAGACATTTCACTGGTAGATAACTGGTTCTGCACACATGTCCACACCTCCTGGTTCTGTGACTGTGCTGGTGATGCCAACTCCGCTGCGTATCCCTTCATGGTGCCTTAGCAGAGCCTTCTCCACTGCACCTTGCTAATCCAGACCTGATGTGGCAACCTCTCTCTCTGCTCAGATGCACCTATAAACCGCTGATCTAAAAACAGGGAGGCCTCCTGTTGAGGAAAGTCACCACAAAGTGACCGGGTTAAAGATTGTAAGTTACAAACATTGATTCTATCAGGTGCCAATCACATATTCACTTTAGAAGCATCATTGAGCACTTACTGTGTACCGGGGAGTGCAGATACAGTGATGAACACGAGCCACCAGGTTCCTACTGTCATCCCCGTGAGAGAAACCAGTGAATATGTAAGCATGCTGCTGGACCCCAAGTCATCTCCAAGATCCACACAGCCTCCCCTGTGGTTGAGGACCCCATCAGCTGCCCTCTGCACCCTGGGCATTTGCACAGTGGGACCCACTTGGTGGCAGCCCCAGCTTCAGGGTCCAGCAGTCTGCCCTCAGAGTTAGAAGGCTTCTGCCCTGACTGGCAAAGTGACCTGAAGTAAGAGAGGAGCAATTCCTCGGACAACAGTTTCCTCCTCTGTCAAACAGAGATAATAATACCTACCACACTGGTGTGGGGCTTAAACAAACTCATTCAGGTACAGCACCCAATGCAATGCCCAGCACAGAGAGTGTGCTTGATAATCGACAGCCAGTACTGTCTTCAATATCTGCACTTTTTAGGTATGTGTCCTAGTCAGCTCAGAACCTTCCTCTCAGCTCAAAACCTTCCTCACAGTTCCGAAAGCTAGAAGTCCAAGACCGGGGTGCCAGCATGGTCAGATTCTGGTGAGGATTCTCTTCCTGACTCACAGGCTGTGTCTGAATGACAGAGAGAGGGAGAGAGAGAGAGCAAGCTCTGGTCTCTTCATCCTCTGATAAGGAAACTCATCCCATCCTGAGGGTCCCACCCTCATGACATCATCAAAACCTAATTACCTCCCAAAGGCTGCACCTCCAAATACCCTCCTTGTGGGGGTTAGGATTTCAACATATAAATTTTGAGGGGACACAATCAGTCCATAATGGTATATTTCTCTTCTGAGACTCCACTGACCCTGAGTTGGGGTTTGTTTGTTTGTTTGTGTGTGTGTGTGTGTGTGTGTGTTTTAATCTCTTGAAAATGATACATTCCTGAAACCATACGTAGATGAACCTTGAAGAACCATAGCCAAGCATTGCCAAAACTGTCCTTTATGTGTTATCTCCTTTCAAAGAACAAAACGCTCCTTCAGAGAATGAGCTGGTCATTCACCACTAGTGCACTCAGATACATTCCTCACCCTTCTTGCCTTCTTTGTGCTCCCAAGAGCTTACATGGAGCTCCTTTCAGCTGACATCTGCCGGATGTGGCCCAGGGGTGGTACCAGAGGACGATGGAGGGCAGGGCAGGAAGCAGGGAAGTTTCTTCTGTTCTCTTCATGCTTTGATGCCTTGTTCTGGGAGTGGCATCATGCTTCTACGACCGCATCTCCCTTCAGGGAGAGTGTTTTCTGCCTGCCTCCAAATCTCACCCATTTCCCCCCATGCCCAGGGCTTAGAACAGCTTCCTACTGTTGCTGTCTTTGGGGACCTTGACCTCTCTTAGTGGTCCCATAACCCTGCCCAGTCCTCTTCACAGAATCCCTTCATTAATGAATCTTCTGTTGAGC